GATTAACCGTGCATTATTCTGATTTCTAGCCTTTGGCGTTGATAACTTACGAATTGGGCATCGAAGCAAACGGGCCAAGTCTAAATTTTTGGAGGTGTACACGCGTTCAAAATGAAAGAGCACTCTTGAGCTCGATTATTATACCCCAACGTTCAGTTCATTTCAGTCTATTACATTGAACTACTTCATCAACACTTACCGTTACTACAGGGTGGGCAATATCGCGATACAAATGTGTCCCGATAGTATTTCAGAAATACATTTTGTGCTTGCATAATTCTTTATTACGATGTTTAAGCCGTACTTCGTATTTCTGCACTTGAATGCATCGTTACAAATTTCGAGGGATTTGTTGCCTTCCAAACGGATGTTCAAGCGGGCTTTTTTCTTCTTATTTTTTCTCGAGAGGGAAGGAGGATGCTACGAAGGGAAAGATGAGACTTTGTAATTCTGCAAAGATAACGAATGCCTTCCAGGACTTGAGGTGGTCGAGTCGTAGACTCTGAGAGTTCAAGACGCTGCCGGTATTTCCAGCCACCCAAGCACCGTTGCCTTCCACCGTGACTTTGTAATAACACTACTCGCAGAGAAGCGCCCGGATCGAACGGGAGCATGTTGGCGTCCTCTAGAAAAACATTTGGATGACAGGAAACTGCTTTAAGCCACAGTCCTACTGCTCGTCCATCATACAAATGACGAGCTTTTCCCTGCAGACATGATCACAAAATTTTCTGCGCACACACTCAAAGCATGTTCCAAAGCTTCATACACGTGTGTGCTTCGAACACGCCTGCAGACAGCTGTTCTATATGACGAATGTGACAGGGATGTGACAAGAAAGAAACCAGCCTCAGACAGTGTCTGCGTACTGAATGGATAGATGTTAATGGCTATATTCTTTGTAATGGGGGGTAGCTTGCGCCACCTAGCCCAAGTCTGAAACTGAATTTTGAATGGTGCATTAGCAGTGTGTCGGCGGTTTTAGAGGTACACCTGATTTCGCCTCTGACAAAAAAAGAAACAATAAAAACGAGAAGTAAAAAAGAAAAAAAAGAAACGCGTTCCAGCCCGGTTTAAAATGGGGTCTAGGACATTTCGGTGTAGGACATTTCGGTGTAGGAACTTTCGGTGCGGACTTCTCGGTGTGCGGCCTTTTCGGTGCAAGACATTTCGGTGTAGGGACTTTTCGGTGCATGGACATTTCGGTGTATGGATATTTCGGTGCATGGTCGTTGAACACAAAAGGGACACCCAAGATTTGGTTTTCTCGCCCTTGTAGTATTTATCTTTCGCCCCCAAGTTGATACGAAAAAGTAATTCTTCCTCTGTTCAGCTTTGTTTCCTCGAACGCTACAGAGAACGCTTCGGCATTCATAAGAAACTTTTCCCTCCTTTTGGTTCATTCTTTGTAGTTGACAGAACAATGGACCTTTCTGCTTCTCTAACTTTTTGTGTTCTGAAGACAGCCATCTTTTTTTAGAAACGGGGATAAACGCTAGTCTTATCGCCTCCGACAAAGGTTGATAACCGTGCGCCTCTTTCGGGAAGCCGGGATCGGGGAACTTGTGACGAAAAGGGTCAACAATGCCAGAAACTTGCCTTACCTTAACCTTACACTTTGAGAACTCGATGTTATATGATAAGCATCTGATATTTGCGTGTCGCCTCGTCGTATACCAACCGGTGTTGGTTAAAACGAACAAGGAGGTGACTTTGTTGGTCTGATTCGCCTTTAGCGGAAAGATGAAACTTTATACGGGCTTCAGGACAAAGCCATGGACGAAGCTCAACACGATGCTTCGAAGAACGGGGCCGCCGCCAGGAGTAGTTATAGGTAGGACTCCGTGTTTTCGGATATATCCGAAAAACTCTGAAAAGCACTCGCCGGCTAAAATTTTCGTTGATTCGGGTTTATCTGAAAAACTCCAATATCGAAGTCAAAGCACAAAAAATATTAGTTCTAATATAAAACGGTACCAAGAGCGCTCACCAGTGCCCTTCCAAAACTTGTATAATTGCCAAAAGAGGCTCATCTCGTCAATATGCGTGCCATCAGCGACAATAGCTGACGAAATATGACGGCACCTATTACAGCAAGCTCTGAGATAGAGTTCCTAACAACCGTGATTGCACCAGCTGTAAAGTTCGTGCAATAAAAGTGAATTTCGTTGTCTTCATCCGTCGAAGTGTGAATAGCTTCTTTTTATTTTGTTCACCATTTTCGGAGATCTGGAAATTGACCAGAAATAAAATTCGATAAACTCGTAATTTCTGAGAATTCAGTATTTACCGAAAATAAACGCCGGTAAATGCCAGATTTTTTAGAAAAGAAAACACAAAAAAACCTCCAAATTTGACGAAAGCTAAACTCCGAAAGCATGGAATCCTAGTTATATGCTATAAGTAGTTTTTGGTCTAAACCGAAAAACACAAATAAGGGTATGCCGATTTCTTTTTTTTTTTTTTAAGATCACTATTTTAGAGCGGGAAGAGTAGGGGCAGGGGAGGGAGGAGGTAAGTCTACCCTTTGTTCGGCTGCTATGTTATGCCCCTGCGGTGTCCAACAATCAACCCAAGATAGCTTGTCCGGATATAGGCTTATCACTGGAATTGCCTTTTGTAAAGCCGTTCCATTCAACAAACCTTTTTTCTCTCCTAGAAGAATTATGAAGAAATTGACAATACGGACAAACAAGGCAGGAATTCGTTTTCTTTTGTTTCGCCTTCAGCGGGTGAGGTGCGAAAAGGGGGGCACCCCTGCATTTGGTCTTATGTCACCAGTTATTTCTGCCCTTTCCAGTTAATTTTTCGCATTCTGTCATAAAGGAAGGTAGAGTGCCTTCATGTGCGCTTCGCATAGAGTGATGCCAACTGCCTGTTTCCCTTTCCCACACTTTCTTCCACCGCCATTTTGTTCCTCTCATTGTTTCCCCGCGCGCCGGAAAGCGGCCTTTGTGTCCATCGGTAATCCCATCCGAGGGGGAATATGCTAATCCTCCCTCCGTGGGTTCCACAGCGCTGCTCCGAACTTTTGAGATAAGGTGCTTGTTTCCGGGAGGGTTATAAGCCCCACGGATTATCCCCGAGAAACAAAATGGCTGCTGGTTTGTCGGCGAGTGGTATTACAAAGGGTGGCATCACCCTAGCAAAGCGCACATTGAGGCTCCCTAAAGGAAGGAAGGTCCAGGAGAGGACATAACGCCGCAGATGTGAAGCGGAGGGAGGGGGGAGAACTTCCGGTTTTAGAGGACACGCCCCTATTGGTGACTCACTTGTGTGTCGCCTCGTCGTATGCCAACCAGTGTTGGTGCAAACTAACTCGTCACTTCCCTGAAATGGCTGTGTACTTGCGAAGTATCCGCGGTGGGCTGAAACTTCTGCACAAAGGCTTCGAGTATGACAAGGAACGTTGCTTCAAAGAAAAGGTGAGCCTTTCACTGAGTTTGCGATTCAAATGCGATCTTTTTTTAATAGTACGAAGATTGTTACGCCGACTCTTCCTGTCTTTAGCTAAGTTATAATTTATAAAAACGCCTATTCCTCGCAGACATACTGGCAATGTAGCCGGAAACTGGAGTGTAAAGCAAGGGCTCACACTATTGACGAAGAAGTTGTCAAGTTGATCAACGAACACAGCCATGCTCTCAGCCGACTGGACCAAGAGGCCAAGTTGGCGTACTCATCAATGAAGGAAAGAGCACGGACGACTGAGGAACCCAATCAAGCCATCGTCGGACGCCTGGTGGCCGAGATGACACCGGAAGCTTGCAGTTACTTACCGCCTCAGGACACTGTTAAGAGAACATTAAGGTAAGTGTTATACACGAATGTTACGAATTAACATCTTTGCTACCTTAGCAAAATATATGCCACCTCATATGCTATGGAGATGTCCAGTTTATCATCGGGCTAGCCTAAACATTTTTAAAATTGAAAATATAGTAAAATAATAATGAGTAACCGCCCTATAGTTGAAACGTGACAGCAATAATATTTCCAACTTTTTTGCATGCAGGAGGGCGCGGGCGATGGAGCAACGGCCGATGCCTCTCCCTTCACGCTTAGAAGACGTCGTCATCCCTGCGCAGTACGCGTCGAAGATTGACGGGTCCAGATTCCTGTTGCATGACTCCGGTGTGCAAGACCAGGACCGTTTCCTTATCTTCTGCAGCCCGCAGATGGTGGATGTTCTCCGAACATCTAAGAAGTGGTTCGCCGACGGGACGTTCAAGGTTGCGCCTGAGTTGTTTTACCAGGTTTACAGTCTACACTGCGAAGTGGGCGGCTCCATCCTGCCTGCGGCATACATTTTGCTAACGCGGAAAGACTGTGGGACGTACACGCGAGCCCTGAACACCCTTAAAGGAGCGATGCAACAATTTTTGTACTTTGCGCAAATACCGCTTAAAACGGATCCCCAACGTTAATGACCTATGAAACACGCGTTCGTTTTTCACCCCACGCAATAGAAGTCCCAGAAAAAAATTAAAGAAAAACGAGCAGCGTTCACCCCCTCAACTCGCAGCGAGAACAAGCGGCCACGTGATCTGGAGCCGATTCTATGCCGCCAGTGTTGATCATAGCCACGCGCTAGGGTTGGCAAAGCGGAGGACACGCGCTGAGTTCCAGACATTGTTATGGCTCGGCTGTGGTCGTCGTTGTAGCGATTGGACACGGGTCACAACCCGAATGCTTCTCGAGCTAGCAATTATCACGAGCCCAAGTCGAGTGCTCACGCAATGCTCGGGTCCAATCTATGAACCGCATTCAAATATCGTCACTTGGGTGTACTGCGATCCCCGAGTTACGTCATCAAATTTTGCAAAGGAGAGATTGAATGAAAATGATCGCTTTTGTCCTTGAAATTACACCGCAACAAAGGAGTTTCTTGGCCAGTGGCGTTGCGTGTGAGTATCCTTGAGTCCCAGGTGTGCCAGTAAGCTCGTGTCAAGTGAAAAACATTCCAATTGAATATCGTTGCACCGCTCCTTTAACGCCGAGTGTGGGGGAGATTGCGAGCCAAGGACCGTCACAGTGGATTACGAACTGGCGGCTATCAACGCTTTCAGGGCGGTCTTCCCAAGCGCCGACGTGCGCGGGTGTTTTTTTCACCTGTCGCAATGTGTCTACCGCAGACTTCAGTCGGAAGGACTACAGGAGCTGTATGCTTTTGACCCCGACATAAACCTGGAAGCTCGCATGATCCCAGCTCTTGCAATTGTGCCCCAGGACGACGTGGAGGGGGCATTCACCGAGCTTGCGTCCAGCATCCGCGCAGAACTTCTCCCGGTGGTCGACTACTTCGAGGATGTGTTTATTGGGCGGCTAACGGCACGGGGCAGAAGAGATGCGCAGTTTCCAATTAAGCTATGGAACCACCACGACACCGTTCTCCAGGGCGGCTCCAAGACCACGAACTCAGTGGAAGCCTGGCACCGGAGCTTCCAAGCTCATGTTCAGTGCTCGCACCCAACTCTCTGGAGATTCTTGGAGGTGCTACAACGAGAAGACGCCCTGCAACTTCACCGGCTTGGAAGACTCGAGATGGGCCAGCGCTTCAAGCAGGCCTCGAAATACGCGAAGGCTGCAGAACGGTTAAAGACACTTGCTAGAGAATACGACGCTAGTGATGTGCGACGCTTCCTTAGGGGAGTTGCCCGCAACGTGTCGTTCTAGGTCCCGGGCCATGTGCCTTTTGTAAATAAAAGTGGTCCACATTACATTTTGTGTACTATTTTGCTTCTGAATGCATTTGGCTTCGGACTTTTGCTTGATAATGAAACCCACGACTAACCTATGATGTGTATCTTTACCTGTTTCTATAGTATTCAGAAGGCCTATAATCTCGAGCTACTTTCCAGAAAGAGCATTCCATCAGGAATAAAGTCAGACAAGCGAATAAGTTTGTGTTTAGCTATACACCTGCTAGCTAGGAAAATATCCTCGTAGTGTGAAAGAGGAAAGTAATTTAACTTGTTTAAGGTATGTATGTCTTAATAACGAGCAGAATCAACCGTGTTTGAATTGGGACAAGCTTTATGTCTTAATGAATACAACTGTTATATTTTATGCGTGAACATAAAATGTCCGAATAACTGCAAGTAAGTTCAACTTCCCGAACTTCAAATTTACACCGAAATTTCCGTGCACCGAAGCGACCGTACACCGAAAAGTCCGTACACCGAAATATCCGTGCACCGAAATTTTCGTGCACCGAAATGTCCGCACCGAAACGTCCTACACCGAAATGTCCTACACCGAAATGTCCGGATCCCGTTTAAAATGTATTCTTTAAGCCACTGAAGACCCGCTTGCTTCCCTTACTGCACAAACGTCAACGTTTAAATTCAGGGGTATACAGCCTGAATTTCAACGTTGTCATTTTTGCGTCAACGTCGAAGTTCACAGCACTGCTAACAATCCGCACACTTAACAATCCGCACACTTAAAAAAAAGGACGGTTTGTCTTTAAAGGTTTTTTTTGACGCCCCAAAACCTTTTTCAGCTCGTGAAGAACGGTTTCGCCTCAAGCACTATCGCCCCCAGGCGCACTAGAAAGGCAACTGGGCAATAAAAAAACATTTTCGCAACGAAAAAATGTTTAAAAGTATTTGTTATAGGTTTTTCACGAAGAACTCTTTTAAGGGAGGCGCTTAAACGCACTTTTATGGCGCATTCACACTGGAAGCGGATCCGCGTTCGCAAAGCGGTTGCGAACGCGGATCCGCTTCCAGTGTGAATGCGCCATTAGGGTGGAAATTATGGTCAAGCCGAAGAATCCTAAGAGTTCCAGATTTATTATTTTTTTTTTAGATTGTAGTACTTGCTGTATACAGTGATCGCCACTTGCATGTTGGTTTTGAAAACGATTTCGTACAATTGTTTATTAAAGCAAAAGGTTTTATTTCAACCAAAATTTGCCTGTGCGGTTTATAGACACGGTACACGGTTTTGATTCTTCACCAGCGGGAGCACGTGTACGGGTATGAGAACGTGCGTACTTAATGTTTTTTTTTTTATGTCTGCTATGTTTTTCCCAACGTATGCAGCTGCCTGATCGACTCCATCTTATGCTGATAGGGCGAAACGCGAGATTACATATCAGGGGCCTACTATTACGACCAGACATATTATGGGCTTGTTGCGGAAAAGGTAATGGGCCCAGCCTGCCAACAAACTAAAGCAAAGCAGGTCCTATGCCTACTATATATGGGGGTACTCTTTGCTTATATATATATATAGCGTAATGGGCATTTTTCAGGTTATTTTAAAGCCAACTTTCTTTAAAGCAACTAAGGTGCTTAAGTCATAAAAATTAGCAGAAAATGCGTGTCTTTGTTTAAACTAAAACTCAATAGAAGCAGAACAACTCTTTTCCCATTTCATCCTTCAATTATTAGAGAGCCTATACTAGACCGTTCCAATTCCCCCGGTGACCCCACTAAAGATACCCGAAAACAAAATGATGCGTGTGCAAAGGCGGCGGCGAATCATCGGGTATCGTTATCGGAGTCATCGGAACGATCTACTAGAACTCTCCTTTCTTAGAGCCATATCGTGAACTATGCGTGAATTGTTAGGTGTAAAAACCTGGACGGGAGAGCGAGAACATTAGAGGCGAGACGAGCTACAGCACATCGACTCGACCTCACAAATGTCTACGGCGTTGAGAAACGCACAGTCGCGTGAACCTCTCAGCCAAACGTTTTGTTCATACAAAAACTCGCGCGCAAAAAAAAAAAAAAAAAAAAACTAATTTTAAAGATACGCGCGCGCATCCGCTCGCGCCTATTTCCTTTTCTTTTTTTTCCAGCACTGCAGTTATTTGTGAGATAGCGGTGTTATCACAAGTCCGAATGGAAAGAACATTGATAATTTCAGTCGCGCTCGGCCAACGATCCGGCGCATCCTTATAACCCATGCACGACGGTTGTCTCTCTCGACAGCTTGGTGATTGACAGCGCTCCGTACATCAGCGTGGTGCATTGGCAGCACGGAACGGCCACAGAGAGCACCTTACTGCCTGCGCAGGCCAGTTCAAATCACGAGTTAAGGAGGTTCTGTTCGAGGCATTCTGACGTTTTGAGTAACGTCTAACGCTTGGAGCGAAAACATATGCACGTCTCATAGATTACGAGTTCATGGTTCCTTTCAGCCTGTGAGACGGACTAGAACAAAACATACATCATACTGAGAAACATTCTTACGATAATATTTTAATGATAATGTTAGTGGGCCAGAAGTACCTGCAGGGGCGACGATGTCGTGTTGAACAGCTCCTGTACTCGCACAAGCGCGCATGCACGACCGCTATGAAGCACGGATCCCGCGCATGTAGTACAGAAAGAAACTGGCTTAAGAAATCCGTTTTCGCGAACAAATATTTAAGAACTACGCGGTGTACAAAATGGCACGCGGGAATTCTCCATGCTCAAATAGTTTACTCGCTTTAAGAAGCGGGCTCGCGATTTTGTTTTAATAGGTATATTTCAATCGGCAGTACACTCTGTCGGTATCATCGTACTTACTTTTCTCAAAAATAAATACGCAGTTTTTTTTGTTTTTTTTTATTTAAAAAAAAAGTGTGATAGATTACGTCACAGGATAAAACACACAGACACACACGCATATTCCCTATTATGGTGAGATAACTTCGGTCATCCCCGTAGTATTTTTACGTGGAAATAACCGCATCAGCGTCTGCGCTTCCGACAATAAGTTCCGTTTTATCTTGCGAATAATCGGTTCCGGACGTCACCACACCGTCCTCACTGCCAAGGTCAAATTGTCGGCATAAGCTTCCGCTCAGCATCACCGGTCTTGAGAAAAGAGGGTGGTTCACGTCAATGAAAGAAACAGCGTCGTACAGTGTCGACGACTCGCTCGCTCGCGAGTCGTCGACACCGTACGTTGCTGTTTCTTATCGCCAAATGGCCGATAAAAACTTTTCCATCGATCTATCGGTTCACCCGACAGACACACCGACAGAGACAGCGATGAAAAAACTATCACTGCGAAAAACTCAAAACTTCAAGGTCGCGATGTCAACGTGAAAAGAAAAGAAGAAGAAAACACGCCGTTTAACAGTTAAGTTACGTGAGAGTACGGGGTCGGTGCTCCTGAGAAAAGATCACTCCAGTCTCCTCCGAAGTACTATGTATTGGCAAAAAAGAGTTTAGCATTCGTCTCGTCGAAATTCGTTCAAAACAACGGGTCATCGTATTTTTGGACCACGACAAAAAGTCTTTGTTTCGGTTTCCAGTTTGGAGCATATACTATTTGTGCTTCACAGTGAAATGTATGAACCTGCGGATTTCATAGAGCGGGGCAGGGTAGCTGGAGCTTCCCGCCGACTACGTCTAGGTTTTGGTACTTTCAAAGGATTTATGTTAATTAAAGCAACGCTCCTTTGCAAGCTGTGTCGTGGGACAGTAAGTATTGACAATGGCAAGGGCCCAATGCCAATAGCCTCAGAAATTCAGATAGAAATTCTATCTGAATTTAATGTACATTTGTGTCCGGATAACATATACTTTTATGATCAATTTTGAAAATGTTAAAACTGTAATATTAAACTCTGAAATTCGGTAAATTTGAAATTTAAAAGAAACTCCGATAAAGTTCGAATTTTCGGTGAAAAGTGAACTCCGAAAAGCACCCTCCGAATTTAATGAAAAATAAACTTCGAAAACACGAAATCGTACAGGTATAACGGATGAAAGGCAGAAAAATGGGAACACAACAAAAGAAACAAAAAAGATTGCCGCGGTAAAAAAATATATATATATATTTTATGATCACTGTCGTATATTGCAAACGAAGCGGCGGCGGTAGACATGGTGTTTCCCGACGCATCCTACATTCGCACCATGCAAGCAGGACGCCTGCCATTGAGTTTCAAGCACACGCACCTCCTTCCTGGTTGACAGGTATTTGAAGTTCCCCCGCAACACGACAACGGCCAAGCGCACCCATCGCACGCCTATGCGCCGATAAACTGACCGAGAGAAGGAGACGAGAAAGCGGGTCAGAAGGTAGAGCTCAGATTGGAAAGATTAATGAGTAGACCTAAAGCCAGCTGCACTTGTTTCACTGCAGTCGTCGAAAGCGTTTGAATGCGGAAGCCAAACGCTGGACGCCGGCGTTCCGCGTTTGAACGCGTTCGAGGAATGCAGTGGAGACAAAGGCAGGTAGGTTTTAGGTCTACTCACTAATCGTTCCAATCAGAGCTCGGCGTTCTGACGTCACCACGCGTTCTCCTCTCCTTCTCTCCCTCACTCTCTCGTGGCATATGCATGTCCAGTAAAATGCACTACAAAGGTCACACATTCCCCAGTGTTATCAGAGTTGGGGAACTCACCGCACACGACACACGTGCGAGGCTAATGACTGCCAGAGTAAGAGGAAGACATTCAGCGAGAAATTTCTCCGACGAGTTTAGCGGGAAGCGTTTCCCCGCTAAATTGAGAGAATATTCCCGTTAAGTTTTGCGGGGGAAACGCTATCTGCTAAATTTGGCAGAGAAGTGGTTCCCGCTAAACGTAAGGGGGAAGAATTTCTCCGCTAAATGTAAACATTGCGTCGTCGTCATGTGACCCGGTAACGAGAACAAGCATAGCTGCGTCAAGACGCCACCCCCTTTTTCGGCTGAGCTGTCAGTTTTGTCAGGCTTGACGGTTGTCGGGCGTGATAAGCGCTCAAATGAC